CTGGGACAAACGTCGTCAGTGGCATGTGGCTCTATAAGGTGAAGCGGCCGCTTGGATCACCACTGGTGTTCAAGGTACGATATGTGGTGAGAGGCTTAAGTTAGCACGAGGGGGTAGACTTCTTCCAAATCTTCGATCCCACCCCGAAGATGACCACTCTTCGGGTGTTGCTGCATATTGCAGCTCAGCACGACTACGAGTTACACTCCTTGGACTTCTCCACAACGTTCCTTCAGGGGAGCCTGCACGAGCAGATCTGGCTGCGTCGCCCGCCTGGCTTCACTGGCTCTTTCCCTCCCGGGACCCAGTGGCAGCTGCGTCGGCTGGTCTACGGCCTGCGCAAGGCTCCCCGTGAGGGGCACGACACACTTCGCACAACACTTGCCGCGCTTGACTTCTTTCTGTCGACTGCTGACCCGTCGTTGTTCGTCCGCCATGGCTGGACCCCGTTCTTCGTTCATGTTTACGTTGACGACCTGGTCTTCGCCACTCCCGACCGACACGCACTGGCCTCCGAGAAGGAGGAACTGCAGAGGAGACACACTTGCAATGACGTTGGTGAGCTGCAGTGCTACCTTGGCCTGCAGATCACTAGGGACAGGGCGGCTCGCACCATTACGCTGATGCAGTCGCATATGGTCGAGCAGATCCTCACGCGGTCCCGCTTCCTGTTCTCCAAGGTACAGCCGACCCCTCTTGCTGTGGATCATGGGCTCACGGCTCCAACTTCAGACGAGCCATTTGAGTCCAGCAGTCCATATCCTGAGTTGGTGGGTTGTCTCATGTACCTGATGACCTGCACTTGACCAGACCTAGCTTACCCTCTTAGCGTCCTTGCGCACTTTGTTGCGCCTGGAAGACAATGACCTTCCCACAAGTACACCGCTAAGAGGGTGGCAAGGTATGTGGCGAGTACATCAAGCATGGGACTTGTCCTTGGAGGGAAGCAGCCAGTTACACTTACAAGTTACTCGTACTCGTCGTGGGCCGACGACGCAGAGTGACTACGGTCTACACAGAGTTACTGCTTCAGTCTTGGGACCCGAGCTTTTTCGTGGAGGTCAACTCGGGCATCCTCAGTCTCCAGTTCCCGCTCTGAGGCAGAGGTGTATGCTGCGGCCATGGCCACCCAGGAGCTCCGCTAGCTGTCTTTCCTCCTCACCGACCTTGGTGAGCGGCCTCGCTCCCCCCCAGTCTTGTTTGCCGACAAAACTGCAGATATCTTCACCAAGGCGTTGCGGCCTTGTGACCACCAGCGTTTCTGCACCTAGCTAGGCCTTGTGTCTACAGTCCCTCACTTGCTTGCATAGAGATGTTTTGCATTGTACTCTTGCATCTCTTTATATTTCCTATATATATCTGCTTGTGGACTGCCCTTGTGGCCCCTTGCTTCTGTAGCAATGCTTTTCTTGTACTATTGCATCTTCCATATTTGCTATATCCTTGCATGTGGACCGGCCTTGTGGCCCCTTGCTTGTTCTCGGACTGTGTGGTGATCTTAAGATCCATCCCGAGATTTGTTGTGTTTTTTCTGAACTGGTCCTGTGTGTCAAACTAACGAACGAGAATGTTTGAACGATGAAAGAGTTGGGTACAAATACTAACCCTAATTGGGTTGTACCCCTTCTGGGCTACTCCACTATAGCCTACACAAGTGTAAGCACTATAACATTCTGACACACCCCCATAGGCAAAGTGGGGGAGAACAAGTGGTCACAAGACCAGTCAAGAAAGCAAAGCAAGCTCAGGGTGGATCACAAAGTCACCACACAGTCCGAGCACAAGAAAAGGGCCACAAGGCCAGTTCACATGCAGAGTTATATAAAAGAGAACAAACCATACAGTTATCATACCCTAGAAAGTGTAATTATGCAGGTATATATATAGATCACACTACAAGCAAAGTCAAGCAGTGAGCAAGTGAGGCAAAGTAGGCACGAGGCCTAACACTGTAGAGAAGCGCTGATGATCACCAGGCGGAAGTGCCTTGGTGAATATATCAGCAGTGTTGGCCCTAGTGACCACGTACGCAAGACGAAGCTGGCCACGCTGCTGCAGCTCTCGAGCAAGGAAGTATTGCAGAGCGATGTGCTTCGTTCTGTGCTCCAGTCTGTGCTCCTGACACAAGGCAATCATGGCCTTGTTGTCTACGTACAGCACTGGAGAAGAACGAGGCTGCTCGCCCAAGTCACTCAACAGGTGGGTGAGCCAGCGTAGCTCTTGTGCAGCCATGGCCCCGGCGTAGATCTCAGCCTCACAACTGGAGCTGACAACCGAAGACGAGCGAGTAGACCGCCATGAAACAGAGCCCGAACCGAGGCTGAAGGTGTAACCCTGTGACGACCGCTGTGTAGCTGAGTCGCCATCCCAAGAAGCGTCTGCGTGACCAGTGAGGACAACTGGACCCCGTCCTCCAAGCACAAGCCCCATGCCTGACGTACTGCACAAGTAACGCAGTTTCCTCTTCGTAGCATCCCAGTGCACCTTTCGATGCCTACCCGGAGCCACGTAGCGAGCCAGGAGGCTGAGAGGGTACGCAAGGTCAGGTCGTGTGCACGTCATCAGGTACATGAGGCAACCCACAAGCTCTGGGTACGGACCACTCGGCTCTACGGACTCGTCCAAAGGTAGAGCTAAGAGTGACTGGCAAGTAGACAGAGGAGTGGGCTGTGGCGAGGAGAACTGGAAGCCGAAGCGCTGAAGGACTTGGTGCATCATGTGTGACTGAGTCCGTGTGATGGTGCGCCGTGCTCTGTCTCGGGTGATCTGCAAGCCAAGATAGCTGCGCAGTTCACCCAGGTCAGTGCAGGTGTGTCTCTTTTGCAGCTCCAACTTCACAAGGGTCAGTGCCTCAGTGTCAGCAGTGGCAAAGACAAGGTCGTCGACGTACACGAGGACGTAGAACAGCGGCAGCGACGTGTCGGTGCATAGAATCAGCGACGGGTCAGCAGTAGGAGTAAACCCCAGAGCCGCAAGTGTCGTCCTCAGTGTGTCGTGCCACTCGCGAGGCGCCTGGTGGAGACCGTAGACTGGCCGCGGGAGGCTCCACTGGGTACCCGCAGGAAACAACCCAGTGAAGCCAAGTGGGGGGCGCAGCCAGGTCTCCTCGTGCAGGCTGCCCTGTAAGAAAGCTGTGCTGAAGTCCAGAGAGTGCAACTCGTAGTCACGCTGAGGAGCGACGTGCAACAACACCCAAAGAGTGGTTATCTTTGGGGTGGGGGAGAAGTTCTGGAAGCAGTCGACCCCCTGTCGTTGACTTAGGCCTCGAGCAACGTAACGCACCTTGAAGGCAGGCGGAGAACCCGGCGGCCGCTTCACCCTGAAAATCCACATGCCATCGACTATGTTCGCCGGAGACGTAGGAACTGCGTTGACGTAGGTGCCTGTGGACTTCCAGGATGCCATCTCGGCATCCATGGCTGCCTGCCACAGAGAGGAGTAAGGACCCGTAATCGCCTCTGCGTAAGAGCGCGGGGTCGGGATGTCTGGTGCATCCGGGTCTCCCTCAGGGGCAAGCAGCATCGAAGCGAAACGAGGTACAGCAGCTGCAAGACACTCAAAGTCCTCCCGCCTGTCCTCAAGGACATCCGTGCCAAGGGCACACTCACCCCCGACGGAAGGAGGACTGGCAGACTCAGACTCAGCAACAAGAGCAGTGGCGTAGTCTAGACGTCAGGCAGCAGCAAATTCAACCAGCTCAGCAACGAGTGCAGACGTAGTAGTGGACTCAAAGGAAGGGTCAGTGACAGCAGTGGCAAGGAGACGAGAGACGGTGGGATTGGCAGCACGAGCGCGGTCAGAATGAGGGTCGGGGACGGCATGAAGAGAGGACTGGGGAGGAGGTGGAAGAGGAACACGCAGTGGAACAGAGGAATGACGAATTGCCATAGCCCGTGTGCCCGGGACAAGAGGGGGACGCGGACGAGGAACGCGACGACTCGTGCGAACAGGGGAGGCAGGACGAGACGCAGGCTCACGACGCTCTGTAAGACCGCCGGTCGGCTCAGTGTAAGGAGAAGGAGAAGGCAGTGGGGAGGCTGGCTATAATGGCGGCTGCGTCTAGTCAGGCGGTGGACACAGTAAGGGAGGAGTAAGGCCACTAGAAGACAGGACACCAAGAACCTGCTGAAGCACGGGAACGAAGTACGGTTGCGGCCGCACAGTGCCTCCAGCACCTCCAACTCCAGGGTCAACAGCTCCAGCTCCTCCAGCTCCAGCGCCTCCCGCGCCAGTACCTCTAGCTTCAGCGCCAACAGCTCCAGCTCCTCCAGCCCTAGCAACTCGAGGCTGCGTAGGGTCTCCAACTCCAGCTCCCCCAACACCACCAGTCCCGGCAGCTCTAGTACCCCTGGTACGAGCACCTCCAGGACCAGCAGCTGCAGCACCTCCAGTACCACCAGCTCTAGTAGTAACTCCTGCACCTCCAGTTATAGTGTCTCCAGCGGCAGAGTCTCCAGCTCCGGCAGCTCCACTCCGAAGGCGGATGCGCTGAGCAAACCACTCGCCCTGCCAAAGGGTGACCATAGAGTATAGCCCGCATTCGGACCGCACTCACCTCCTCCTGCCTCTTCCTCCTCCTCTCCTCGCCCTCCCTGGCCTCCTGACCGTGCCTCACTCGGAACGCCATGTCCTCCCACAGCAGCTCCTCTGCACCGTTGATGCCCTGCTTTCCTGCACTGCCATACATCACACTCTCACGGTACTGCCCCGTGTAACCCCACATGGCACGAGCACATGGCAGGACAAACAAGTGCATACACGGGGAGAGGGTGGTTGTGGGGCTGGCAGCACTGGCAGCACTGACAGCACTGGCAGCACTGGCATCAAGGGTGCGCCTTCAGCAGCACAGGCAGAATGCAATGTAGAGATATCATACTGCGTCACTCCCAGCCCCACATTTGAGGCTCCTCAATAGTGGGCATACAGACGCCTGCCTCCCAACACCTTTGACCTCGCCCACACCCACCGCTGCACTTCACCCCCCCTACCTTCCCTTTGCCCTAAAACTCCTCCCCCTCCCTGAACTCGACCTTACCCCTGCCCCCAGCCCCTTCCACAACTCTCCCTCCGCACGCCCCTCCCTCAAGCCCTTCTTTTCCCTCTGCCACGCCCACCCCATCTCCCCCAGCGCACCTCGCAAAGGCGGTTCCACATGCGCAGCCACTGGTGGCGCTTGACCACGCCCAGTGCCTCCAGCAGGTAGCGCGGGCGCAGGGCCAGGGGCAGCGGCAGCACCAGCGAGAACTCCTCGTACGGTACAGAGGCCTCCAGGGGCAAGGGGAGGGCGGGTAGTGTGGCGGGCAGCAGCAGCACCGGCACACACCCACTCATCATGGCGTCTCCCACCCCCGCTGACCACGGCAGCTCACCTGCTCGTGCTCACAGGCATGCATGCAGGGCAGCATGGGGTAGCGCACATGACCAGAGAGGGGCAGGCGCAGGGGAGAGCGGGCAATGCAGGGGGATGGCAGAGATGGGAGGGATGGCAGAGATGGGAGGGGGAGGGATGGGAGGGATGGGAGGGATGGGAGGGATGGGAGGGATGGGAGGGATGGGAGGAATGGGAGGGACGGGAAGGACGGGAAGGACGGGAGGGATGGGAGGACGGGAGGGATGGGAGGGAGAGCAGAGGTGTGAGGTGCACGGGCAAGGAGCGGGCATGAGGGCGGCGCTCGCTCACCCGGCAGCAGAAGGCAGAACTTGGCGGTGCGCATGCCGTGCAGCTCCCGTGCCCTCTCCTGCTCGTGCTGCTCGTTGCTGTGCACGTCGCCCCACACCGTGACCTCAAAGTCCATGCTGCTCGCCAGCACCGCCGCCAGCCGCACCCGCTCCTGTGTCTGCACACATACATGCACAGCACGGGCAGGCGTGAGGGCGAGGGGGGGAGTGGGGGGGAAGGGGAGAGGGAATGCAAGAGGTGGCTTGTGTTGCAGTGGCGTGGGGTCGAGCAGGGAGGCACACACGTGCCCCCCAGTGCACCCATGGCACCCCAGTGGCCTGCGCAACCAGCATCTGTGTGCCTACTTCCGATGGGCCTCCCAACACACGAGTCTAGAGGCACAGCCTGCGGAGAGCAGGAGGACACAAGCACTCGTAATTGGAGAACAAGTCGCTCTGTCTTCCTCATAAATCTCCCTGCTCACCTTTGCCACCCCCCCTTCCCTTCATCTATCTATTGCCTAAACTGTCGTATGCTGCTCACCTGCGGCTGGCCGTGGAAGAAGGCGAGGGTGGGGCGGTGGGCCCACTCGCCAGTGTCGTCCAGCACGGGCTGCACGGGCGACAGCAGCGGCACCAGCACGTCCTTGCCCACACTCACCGCCTGCTCACCCCGCCCACGTGCACGCACGGCCATGGGGCATGGGGGGGAAGGGGAGGGAGGAACGAGAGGCAGGAAGGGACGAGAGCATGAAGAGCGGGTGGCGGAAGAAACCCACGGGGCCTTGGTTTGGAGTAGAGGCAATCACAGCGTGCTGCGCTACCGTGCTGTGCAGTAACACTCAACACCCGTAACCGCTGTTGCTGTCACTAGCTTATTTTATACTCACGTCACCCCATCTCTCCTCCTTTTCCCAACTCTCCCTCCCGCAACCCGCCCCCCCCTTCGCCTGTCCCCTGCCATGCGTGCGGGTCACCTGGGGGCTGGAGTGGCGGAAATCAGAGAGGAAGAAGCGAGCGGAGGCGAGCTGGCGCTTGGCGGGGGCGAGCGCATGCGCGTGCACGGCAGGCAGCAGCAGCGGCAGGGGTGCCCGTGCAGGCTGGTGCTGCTGCAGCAGCGATGCCACATAGGAGAGCATGGAGTCCAGCAGGGCGGGGGGCGTGCGCAGAGAGAAAGCAGCCGACGCGTTGGGGGGGGCACTGCAGGGGGGCGGGCGGGGTGGAGGGCGCACGTGCACGCAGGGCAGCCGCGCGCAGGGCAATGGGGGGAAAGGGGAAACGGGAAAAAAGGGACAGGGGGGAAAGGGGGAAGAAGGAGAGGAGAAGAGGATTGGGGGGAGAGGAAGGGAGGGAATGGGGGAGGAGGGGGGAACAGACGGCGATGAGAATGGGGTGGCATGTGGAGGGCTGAGAGAGGGAGGGGGGGCAACGCAAGGGGAGAGCGTGCGAGCGAGAATGGTAGAGAGGGTAGGCGCCGCGCAGACAGGAGCAGCAGCGAGTGCATGGGCATGGCATGAGTGCAGTGCATGCAGTGCTTGCAGCGCATGCATTCCAACCCACATTCACGCACACGCATCTGACACCCCCCGTCCACCCACCCACGTGCATCCCCCTCACATCCCCCACGCCCCCCTTAAAAGAGGCCTTGACGAACTTGCGGAGGAGCAGCAGTGAGGAGAAGAGCGGCAGGAAGAGCGCGTCCGCGTGTGAGGGGTGCTCCACCACTCGCACTGCTGGCAGCCCTGCCAGGCGCACAGGGGGGAGCAACGAGAGCAGGACGGAAGGCACGGGGGCGCAGTGAGAAGGGAGCACGGTGCAGAGGAGGCCGCGAGAGGAATGGGCAGTGCAGTGCAGGTGATGGAGGGGAGGGGGGGGGCAGCAAGAGGGGGACAGAAGAGACACGTGGAGGGACACACCCTGTGTGATCGAGAGGACGCTTGCAAGGGAGAAGGCGGAGTTGCAAGGGAGGAGGAGGAGGGGCGAGGCGTGCACCTGTGAAGAGTGAGAGAGTGAGCCAATACTCGGCACTGTATGCGTGCACATGCGGCTCTGCGTCGTATGCTGCCACCTGCACGCTCACCATCTCCTCCTCCTTTTCCTCCCCGCTCCCCTCCTCTGCCGCGCCCAGGTCGTCCCCCTGCGCGCCCCCCGCCTCGCCTTGTGCCAGCGCAGCAACAGAGGGGGATGGGGGGGCGGCTGCAGAAAGAGCGAGAGCAGGGGGCGTGAGAGCGAGGGAGGGCGGGAGGGGGACGTTGCTGCCGGTGACTCGGTTCCACGTGGGCACCAGGCGCGCGGGGATGCTCACGGCGAGCTGTGATGACGACTGCGCGCAGGGGGGGCGCACAGGCAGCGAGGGGTGGTGGGGACGGAGTTAGTGAGTGTGAGCACGGGTGTGTAGGACTAGACACTCCAGTCCAACCACGGACGGCGGTGGGCGCTCGCACAACCACGGCGCGTCCACAGCCCCTACCCGCTGCCACCCGGTCACGCGCGCTCGCCAGGTGAGAGACGCGATGCGCTTTGAGGGGGTTGGGCGGGGCATGACACTCGTGTCGGTGGGTGCACGGGGGCGGAATGGGGGCTCAAGTACATGCACACTCACATCGCAATCCTTCCCAAACCGTGAGCTGAACAAACGAAAGACGGGGATGGCATGGGTGCAGGAGCGTGGGGTCAGCCCGAGGTCGCACATTCAGCAGCCCGAAGCTCATGGCCGGCTCGAGCGGCACGATAAACACTCGCAGCGCCTCCACGCGCCGCGGCTTCCTCGCCGTCGCGCCGGGATCGGTCAGCGCGCTTCGATAATGCGGCGCGATTGTCAGCCGAACCGCGACGTACGCCAGGAGCAGCAGAGGCAGCGCCGCGACGCTTAGCGTGCGGCGGAGCGACGTGGCATGGCGGCGCGCCACGGACGAGGCGGCTGCGGGCCATCCGCGCCACGATTGTTGCGACGACTGTGAGTCGGAGGGCAACGAGGAGGTTCGCACGCGAAGCATGGCGGGTTGGATCTGAGGGCGACTGGGCGATCGCCCAGCGCACCCACGTGAGCGCGAAGCGAGGAGTGTAAGAGCGACTGGTCCTTCACATGCGGTTCCTCATCCACCTGGCGGCGCCTAAGCGCACTCTGCGCCAGTCTGTCTGGTCCGCGCACATGCTTCCCTCGGCGTGGAGCATATGCCACAAGTTTGGTTGCGGGTGGTCCGCTAAAGGGCGATCCGCATGTATCGCGAACAATGACCTCCGTACGCACCCACGCCGCAAGACTTGCTGACGACCGACTAAAAATCACACGTGTGGTTCAAAGGTACAGAACGTTCGTTGGCTGGGAGGTCGATTTGGGTGCGAGTTGAGTGCGTTGCATTCCACGCCTATGGAAGGACTGGTCAAAGCTTTGCTTGTTTGTCTGGTGATGATGTATGGAAGAGAGAACCAATTGTGGTATTGACAATTGCGAGATACATTGCAAAGCACAGTTCTGGGAAAGTTCACACACGCTGTAAAATACGGTAATCTAATACCATACTTTCTCTCCAGTGACCAAGTAATTCGATCTGCTGGTTTAGGTAAAACTTGTGTTAGCAGTCCTCCAAGATCTTACCATGAAAGGAACACATCTCCCACCTCACACTACGGTACTACTTCTACATTCCATTCTCCGCTCCACCCACACGGATTCTCTCCTCCCCCGTGTCATTTCTGCTTGCTTGTTGTACCGGTAACACTGTCTTGAAAAATAATCCGTAATACTTAGTTTTAGTAAAAGAGTCATAATAACTGCGGGATACTGCATGTGTTAGATATTTACAAGCAGCTTATTTCCTCAGACGGTGCTCTCAAGTATAACTTACTTTCCTCTCCATGACGTCAAGCGGCTTCATGCTTGAGTAAGGCGGCAGCGTCCTCTATTACTGCTGAAGGAGGAGAGGAGGACGAAGCCATCTCCTGAACGGCCTGCTCAACTTCCGAAGCATAAGGATAGTTGGCTGGCATGCCCATCAACGCGCAGACTTGACCATACTTCTGACGCAGTTCTTCGTTTTCGGCTCTGACAGCTTGAAGCTCCTTAACCATGCTAGACAGCCTGCTTCCCAACCGATGAATGACTTGCAAAGTTCCGTAGACGGGATCAGCCAACCGTGCTTCCGCTTCAAATATAAGACTGCGAAACAGAAAGTGGATAACGTCAGACCACAGCGTGGTAGGACACTTAACGAGATAATGCAAGAAGAATACCTGTTTGCTGCAGCCGTTCTCTTCCCTGGCGGTACTGTCGTTAATATCTTCGAAATGTTGCTCGCACCGAATGTACGATGGACTGTTGTCCACTTTTCCGTCTCGTTCGGTGGGAAGTACGGAGAAAACACGCACTGGGGGGTGCACTTCTTCCTTAGCGACTTGCAAGCAGCACAAGCATGAAGCGGCTGGTTCGGCATTCTCAGAACTACTGAAACGTGCCGAGCATTAGCACTGGAAGCACTAACTTCTGATTGAGTACAACCATGGAATATCCTCGCCTCAACCCGAGGGCGAGGCTGCTGGGAACAAAATGATCCTTTGTCATGACGGTGCTGTTGTCAGTGACCTCCCACAATGGTGTTCCGTGATTGCCAGTGGTCCCCACCCCACCACATCCAGTTGGCCGTCAACGCGCCAAAGGCTAATCAGGATACCGCGTCAAAAGTTTCTAAAAAAGAAGGCCCACTTAATTCTATGAATTGTCCATTACGAATTAAACTTGTTAATATAACAGCTTCAGACATAATCCGTACAAATGCACTCATTAATTTGTATACTGACCATGAATAATGTGTTTCGTAATTTTCATCTGAACCGTATGACAAGAGCGTCGTTTGTTTAGACTCGTCTAAAACGCGTACTTTCTTTTTTTGTTGCAACCCTCCTACATTCTGGTTTTTATTTAGGGGATAACAAATCAAAAGTGGGCTTTCAAAACTCTCTGCTTCAACTGTTGGAGTTGTTGGGCTGAGAAAATAGCCCTTAGGATCTTTCAAGGCTAAGATCTAGGTTGAAGTACGTAAGAATTTTGTAGTTTGCGGAAGCGTTAATATCAGAGTTGCTGAACCACCTTGTACTGGTGTGTGAGAACAAGATAAGTTAATTATCGCAGAGAAATACAAGGCTTTTATATGATTACAAAGGAATCTGAAAAGTTCTACTTTAATTGTTTTTGCTGTTGCGGTTCGATATAGTGCCGACTCTGGTAACTGCTCAGTATCGAGTCAGTTATGTGTGTGAGAAATGTACGAGGAATGATGTGTGGACTAGAATGGAGATGGGTACAAGTATGAAAACCTAGAAAAGCTGTACCCCATAAAGTCTACCACACTACAGCCTACACAGGCTATATCATATACGTTTGACACACCCCCATAGGCAAAGTGGGGGAGAACAAGAGGTCATAAGACCAGTCAAGCAAAGCAAAGCAAGCTCAGGGTGGATCACGACGTCACCACACATTCTGAGCACAAGCACCAGGCTGTTGGGAACAAACAATCTTAAGCGCCTCTGTCGTGTCGAAACACCAAGGCACAAGCGAAGCAGAGCATATCGAGGCACCAGCGAGTCAACCCTCGGAGGTTGAAGTAACCGCTGGAGGTTACGCGAAAGTCAAAAGGTCAGTGACCTTTGACTTGACAAATGCAGCGCGACAGCAAGGACACACAACTGACTCGACATTGAGCAGTTGCCCGAGTCGCACTGTATCGAACCGCAACAGTAAAACAGTTTAATTATATCTCTTCGTATTCTTTGTACTCTTATATAAACCTTCGTACTTGCTTGTTTTAATCAACTTACTTTGCCCTCACATACCAGCGCAAGGTGGTTCAAGGACTTCATTTAAACGCTTCCGCTTCTACATCACTCTACCCAGAGTTTAACCCTACCAAAGATCCTAAGGGGCACTCAGCCCAACATGGTATGAGAGCTGGTTAGGGTTAAAATTATTTCTCCTTAACACCTAATACACCAAGAGACATGTCTACCAGAAAGGAGAGGAGCTCCTCCAACGGCTCTCCTGGTACTACTCCTACTCCACCTCCTGCCTCTGGCCTACAGACAGAGGAAGGCACAACAACGAGACCGGCAGCTGGGTCTACTGAAACACCCGCAAACCAAGGCGCGGGCTTCGATCCAAGCATGATGGAGAAGTTCTTCTCCTTCATGTCCTTCTACGAGCAGCATCAGCAAGGAGCACCTGCGCAATCAAACAACAGCAACAACAACAACAACGTGACGCCCATGAGTCTCGATGGCTCATCCTACGCACGCGGGAATCAACAACAGCAACCTACCTTCGCTCCGTACGAGCCCCAGCGCGGCTCCGTCAGCTTCATGCCACAACCACAACCTGCACCGGGACAAGAGAGAACGCTGGACGCACTACAAGTTCAGTCGCAGTTCGCGCACGTTCTAAAACTGCAAACGACAAAACCCTTCGACGGGAAGGATTTCTTTACCTGGTCGTTCGAATTCGAGCTGATGATGGAAGGAGCGCAAATCCTTGGCTTCTTCGACGGGTCCCTTCCATACCCTACAAACGGCACACAGTATGAGAAGCAGCAGTACACCTATCAATCGATGATGGCGTACACGATACTACTGAGGAACATCACTCCAACTCAACAACAAAACATACGGTCTTACCGAGGCTACGGCAACTCCGCGGAGCTCGCGTACAATCACTTGAAGAGCCTGTATCAAGCAACAGACAGCGTAAACCAAAGTCGGTTAATGGCGCAGCTGACAACAATCGAAATGAAACCAGGCGAGAAGGGAATGGCGTATATCAGTCGCTGCCGCGAGCTGCGCGACAAGCTTCTTCAATGTGGAGGATCGATTTCAGAGGACGCCTTCGTCACGGTTGTCATCGGCGGTCTTGGTCCTCACTGGCGCTCCACTCGCGCCATACTACGAGCCCACGGGAAAATTTCTGAAGCAGCACTTTGCGCCGAAATCCACGCCGAGCAGCAAGACATGGACCTGCAAGAAGAACGACACAAGAGAAAGGTATCAGTGCCCGAATTCGCGTTTCACACTCAACGGCGCCACAACAACAACAACAATCGACCGAAAATCGTACCTCCGTTTTGCCACCTCTGCAAGACTTCAGGGCATCCTCGTACGCACTGCCCGAATCGACAACAGTCAACGTCGCCGCAACGCCAACTTCGCCCTTCAAGCAGTCAAGTCGCTTCAACACAAGCAAATCCGACAACTTCAGTACAAGTCTCAACAACATCGACGGGACAACCTGCGAAAGGAACAAGAAACATCGTCAGCTGCATGGCAAGGCTGAGTGACTCCTGCATAACTGAGTCACCACCATATTACTCACCAGAAGAACAACTCGACAACAGCACGCCTCGCCGCGAGTCACTTCAACCGAACCCGACGTACGCCGCCATCGCTCAAAGCGAGCCGTCCGGGAAGGATACATGGTTCTTGGACAGTTGCTGCGGACAACATATGTGCTCTTCAGGACGTTTCGTTCAACGCGAGCACCAACTTCAACGAGAAGTCGTCATCACTGTCGCCAATAATCAGAACCTGCGCACACGACGACAAGGAGTAGTGCAACTTCAGTCACGAGAGACGAATGTCATACTGCAAATGCCCAAAGTCCTAATAGCAGAAGGACTTGGCTACAACTTACTGAGCGTCAGTCAGTTGATGGCGAAAGGCATACATCTGGAAGCCGACAGTACCACCCAGGAGTTCAAGCTGTACCACGGGAAGGGCGGCCTCTACATCGGAAAGGCGGTCCTGAAGAACAATGTCTTCGTTCTCGATTTCGTCCCAGACCTGGGCACCGCAGACAGTGACGGGATCGTCACCTTCACATCTTGGACGCACCCGCCGGATCTCGACCCCGACTTCAGTCCGGAAGGCTTTTGGTATTCACATACCATTCCTGAAGCAGAACGAACACGTGCGTTAGTAACAATACAACATTCGGCAGCAGCAGAGACAACAT